CCCCATGTAGAGCACATTGCAGTATTCCAGCCTAGAGGTCACAAGGGCCCGAGTGACTGTTGTGAGTGCCTCCCGATTCAGGTAGGGTCGCAAATCATATTGAGAAGTTGTTTTATGTACTTTCCTATAGGCTTGTGATTTTATTCCTTTCAGAAAGCAAGCTGACATCCTATTTTATGTACTATCAAAGATAGATAGCACAATCCAAATTATATTCATTCAGAAGGACATCTCTATTCAGTAAAACATACATTCCCAAAAGGTTGAAGACAGCAGTTAGTATATAAAAGAAACACACGAGCCTTGATCTCTAATTCTTAATTTACTATCCAGAAGAATTTTGTATTAATTAGGGATCCAGTGTATTCAGAAATAAGGTACACTCTAAGCATGCAAAAATTGTTGAATCAAGACATATCTATGTATTCTTAAATAGATATAGCATTTAAACATTCTTGTTTATACATGCACAGAACAATCCGTGGTACAATGGGAAGTCCAGCTGTTCCCAAAATGTTCATTAGCCATCTGAGAGGGACGGAGATTAAACATTGATATCAGAACATTTTATTATGGCTTTGTTTCTCTTACTGCCACACTGTAGACCTGTAAAAAAACAGGAAATATTTCACACTGTGGAACTATTTTGTGATTGCAGAGTACGAGTTCTGCACTATCCAGAACTAATAAAGCTTAGGATAAGAGACTTGAGCACAATTTGATAACACTTTAAAAATATGCAGCTTGTTCTAAAATGGCATGAGGGAATAATTATTGTCCTGCTATTATTTAATTTTTGGAGTGCTACTTCAGCCTGAAAAGAAATAGTGTACACCTGTTTCCTGATCAGGAAACAAAGCAATGCATCAGCTCAAATGGAAAAGATTCACATGCATATCAATATGCACATCACAAACGCAATACTGTTGCATGATCACATGTACTATTCAATTTAATTTGTCTTTGGCAAGTATTTAACATAACATACTTCTACTAGACTATTACAGAAGAGAGTACCAAGTACCTAGAGTCTTGGAATATCAGTTCCCATTGTGTTATAATTATACGAAGAATACTACTGACATATATACTTAAAAATAGGTAAAGCATAACTTGCATTTGCTTACTTTAGCTTTACTGCAGTACTGGATGTAGAAGATAACAGGAAAAAGAAAGGAAGGCATCAGAAGAACGGGGGCCATTCATGCTATGATAATGAAAAGATGTTAAGATATGGAAAAGATACAAATGAATGGGTTTTTGTCCTCAGTTTAAAGCTGCAAGTTTTCTTTAGAATATGAAGTCACAATTAGATTATAAAGTTGTTTGAAGTTGGCAGCAAGGGATTTTTAATTCTCAATTGTGTAACCATAAACAATAATCTTCATCCTAAGTATGCAAATTATGTGGTCAGGAATACATGAGGGAAGAACAAAATAGATTTTGTTCAGTTCTTTCAATTCATTCAAATTTAATTTTTACTTGGAGCTATCAGGATTTTTTTTGTCGTAGACCAACTATTTAATCTTTTCCTCAAACCCCCCAGCATGGCAGTCGTAGGCTACATGCGGCTGTTAACATTTTAAAGGGCTGGGCACCTATAACTCTACCTGTTAGTCATCATCATCATCATCTTCTGGTACAAAGATATCATGTTCTTCAAGCAAGGCTGCAAAACTTTTGCTGATTTGTGTCCCAACGTAGAGAAAGGGAATTACAATGGCAAATACACGAACAAGTCCAAATGGCATCTACAGGGATTAATAATGAAAAGCTGGCTAATATTTATTGGCACATATACAAATGAACACATGAACAAATTTATAGCTGCCAGAGTATAACTAAAACTGGTGGAAAGAACAAAAAGAATCACACAGCTGCCTCAGTAAATTTAACGATTATCTTACTGTACTTATTTTCAGGAGGATTCTTTAAAATTACCTTTAAATAAAGAAATCATGAAGCATCTGACTGAATTAGTACTTAGCACCCTTAGAATAATAAAGATAGTTAATAAAATATATCTTCAGGATATTTCCTATGCTGGGCATGAATAGAATTCTTTATTGGCCAAGTATGATTAGACATACAAGGAATTTGTCTCTATTGCATAAGCTTTCAGTGATGTTGTTATAGTTAGTTGCAAAGTTGTGTCCTACCCATCGCAACCCCATGGACAACGTTCCTCCAGGCCTTTCTGTCCTCTACCATCCCCTGGAGTCTATTTAAGCTCACGCTTATTGCTTCAGTGGCTCCATCCAGCTACCTCATTCTCAGTCGTCCCCTTCTTTTGCCCTCAATCTTTCCCAGCATTCGGCTCTTCTCCAGTAAGTCCTTCCTTCTCATTAGNCCTTCCCCAGACTCCAGGACTGGCCCATGTTCCTCCCCAACCTCCTCACTGTCCGAATCTGCTGCCAGCTTTGCTGGCTGCTGGTGGGCCACAACCTTACCTGTATAGTTAAAAAGAAAACCACTCCAACTTATAATTATGGGCTACTAC